GAAAGTGTAATATCGGTTTGCGGATACAATTGACCATTTTTAATGCTTTAAGACAAAGTTGTGTTGTGTGCGGTGGCTTGTTTGGTTATTCCAGTCAATTAGGATCGTTTTGTATGTTGCAGTATTTTGAAATAAGTTTTATCGAAAGGAAGTTTTATTAATCATTTTCGAACGAATTAACGTGAAACAACTTTTTAATACCGCTGTGTAAAGTACACTTAAAGATAGTGTGTTTATTATGAAAACTATTTATCAACTGTACACTTTTGACACTTGGATTTCTGCGTAATCCGTGTTTTACATCAGTATTTATTTTAACACGTTTATTTATTGAAGAATTTATTTAAACAGTGCTGATATTAACCATGGCGTGTGACTGGCTGTCAGTTTACATCGTCGTAGTGACGCTTATGGCAGCTGAATTTCACGTCGTGATTGGATTCAATGTGGACACGGAACACGTCGTTCGATACCAGGGTGCCAAAGGGTCCATGTTTGGCTTCAGTGTCGCAGAACATCGGGACAGGGGGACGAGTTGGTGAGTTTATGCCCCACAGCGTCCACAGTTTTCATTCCGTTTAATTCTGTTCGTTTCTTTAAACACTAGATATACACAACAAAGGTGAAAATGAAATATATGTGTGTTTATTTGGACTGAGAGTTGACTGAAACGTCCGGTGCAGCGCGAAAAAGGCAGAACTTTCTATTCTTATGAAATTTTTCGCATTTGTCGATGTGTAATGTTTATTTCCGGTCAACAAATCTTAAAAACACATAAATGCAGAGATACTGATTGTTAAATCAGGTGGCATGTATAATTACCATTTGGCTTAAAAGGGTTAAGAATTGAGTTAAGTGTTATCTTAAGGCATGAAAATCATGCCGTGACAGTGACCGAGACAGCGGCGCTTGGTGGAGGTAATTAGTCGGAATCAGGCACCGGCCGTTTCGATCCCCTGAGATGGATGCGTTGGCCCAAGATCCGGTCGAAGGAATCCGGGCCCTCTCCAGGTGTCTAACTCCAGATATCCAACCCTGTTTGGGACGTCACTTACAGCGATTATTAATCGTAAATTTATATATGCATATATATTTTTTTATGTTTTTTTTCACACATTAATATCTGTACGCGTTTTAGCTTGTAAATAGGCCCGTATAAAAGTACCTTTTTGAAATTTCCGAACACTAGCCAGTCAGTGATGGTGAATTGTTTTTTAGCTTGCATTTCGGGATTCATTGTCTTTATATGCTTTTTCTTCATGGAAATCCTAAAACATTATCTGGTGACTGCGAGGACGTATTTTGCTGGTATTCTTTGAAATTCGATGGTTCAAATGGCGACCACGTGGAAGGTTCGATCCGGGCCGTTACAGTCCTCGACTGCCCACACGTGTCCGTCCTTGTCCCGGTACTGCAGGGATTCAGTACCGGGTGCGTAAGAATTTTCGTCACTATTATGTAATTTCCATCAGGAAGTTGACATAGACACTCTTGTTTGTTTAATTTCGCTTATAAACAAATGAGATCTTCACTGCGCAGTTTTATTTTCGTGCAGAGTTAAATACTGGTCGAATCTGTCAGGGTAAGAAACGTCCCTGGTGATGATACGGCAGTGACCTTGACGAAATTTGACATTTCTATAAGTGAAGGAAGTTTTGTGAATTTGGCAGCATTGACGACTACGGCCGAAACCGGATGTTACGTCACAAGGGTGGCGCTTCCTTCGGTGTCTCGTTTATGAAGCTTTTAACCACGTGGTCATATTATTCGTCGCTGGAAGGTAATCGCATTAATGCAATGAACGCACTTCACGTGTGCGGTGTAAAAGTGATTTCGTAAATATTACAGGCGCTGCTGGAGCTACGTGGGTGCTAGGGGGGGAGGAGGAGGGTTATTCCTTTCACACTTCTGTTGACAATGTTCATAATTTATAGTCGTCAAGGGAAACAGAATCTTTGTTTCAGGATGAACGTTGGCGTCACAAGCTCTTCGCCTACGCATTTGGGGTTCCTTATGACACTCTTGCTCAGACAGCGAAACTTTGCTTTGTTATGAGCTCGGGATTGCTCGCAGTTATTTGAAGCTGATAGTCACTCATCTGGTCAAGATATTCCTCATCTTTTATGATACCTGAAGGTTCATTGCCACGCTCACAAAAGCCCGAAACTACGTCTTATGCCGAAATAATCGAATCAAAGACAACGAAAATGTGCCTGGGTTGTCGTTGTATAGTTCTGTGATTGGTTACAAATTTTTCGGAGGGAAGTGTCGCTGCCATCTTCAGGGACACGATACGTTTCTACCAAATTTTTGTGCTTAGTAAAATGGAATTATTTTTAATTTATTTTTGAAAAAGCTCTCAAAGTGAAACGGTGATATTTATGCTGAGATTTTTTTTTTAAAATTTTCTGTTTTCTCTACTAAAATTTACCGTGGCGTCTTTTGCTGTACTCGGTATTCTCTGTAAATTCCGGACAATTGGAATGTAAATTTGTGACTGTAGACAAGTCAGAGAGTACAGAATAAGTTAAAATAAGAATTCTAAGGCCAGACAGACTCCACAAGAAACCGACCTGGGGCTACTTTATTTTCCAGGAACGTCGTGTGTTCACGTGTTACGTTATAATTGCCCTGTAAATTATGTAATTGTAGCTCCTTGGGCCTATGAGGGTCCGTATTTCCCTTGGATATACGTTCAGTAAAATGAAATGGTGACAGGTAACACAAAACACTCTTACAGAGGCACATTTTGAATTTAAAGTTCTTCATGACAAGACCATCAATGTCAGGGTGTAGTAACGACTGCCCTGCGCTGTGATAATGTTACATAAGTCCTCTTATAAAACCTCGGACGTCGCCTTACTTAATTGTACAAAGTGTGTGTGGTGACAAACGTCATTCTTTGTATGCAGACGGTCTGTGTCGTGTTTAACTCCTGGCGCTGTATGGAACGGTGTGATAGTAGGCTGCTTCAATCTCTGCCTTCAGTGGCGGTTCGTTCTCTTTCTCTCGAACTTTGCAAATTCATATATCAGACGAAAGCGTCAGAAATCAGACCCAGTGCGCATTAAGGACTTCATTTTAAGCGATAATTTATATCTGGTCTGTATAATATCTCTGCAGTCCACAGGACATTTGTGCGTCGGTAAACGCATCGGGAAATTCTGATCGCCGGACCATAAAGTTCTCAGGGGGAAGGAATTGTTACGACGTTCCGATTAAAGATTTCGATGACACTTTTTGTCGCTGCTATAGCAGGAGGCCTCTCTCCGGTGTGACGTCACGTGTTAATAAATGAGTGGAAAACATTTTGTGGGTTACGTGTCGAATATTGTTCTGTATTTGAACATGAGACGACATTAACCACCGTTTCCCTGATTTTCCTCGCTTGCTTCAGGATTATTTGTGCTCTGTTCGAAGCAAGCTGTTATTCCGTGAAGGTAGCCAAATTCTGCTTAAGTTAACAGCAAACTTCCTGTGACGTGTGTTGAAGTTATCGACAGTTGAAGGTTTCGTCGTGTTTTTTTGTTTCTTATGTGTCAATAATTATGTGACTCTGTTTGCATAATTTTTATGAATGCGTGTTTAATAATATTAATATTAATATTAGAAGGGACATACGAAAGCTACTGAACTGTATCATGTTGCATTTTAATCCAGTCGACACCCGGGGAGACCCAGTTTAATATTATCTTCTACAAAATCTTTCTTCTTCAGGTTTATAGACTAAAGTTTGGAGTTTCAAGCGTCCAACATCTCGTAGTCCTTGGTTTGTTAACCGTAATAATTTTTGGCGAGTATGCCTCAAGTTCCTCATTATGTATTTTTCTCCATTCAGGTGTCACTCGACACGTCTTAGGTCTAAATATTAAACACACCCAATTTGTGTTCTTCCCTCGGGATAATAGAGCTCAATTTCAGTTTTCTTCTGTTTCCAAAACACTCGTACTAACTAAACTTAGCTTCCGGAAAGGCGGCTTTAGTTTCACTTTTTTTTCTTCTCACTGCACGCTTTTGACACCAGTTGGCGCAGCTGGTCCCGGCTCCAGACGCTCGTTTCAGAACTTCAAGAAGTTTGTCACTTGTTACAGAGCCCGACTTAAATTTCAGTTTGTTTGTTTGTTTGTTTGTTCGTTTGTTTCTGTTCCCCTCAGCCCGCTAATTTCGTCCGCTCAGTGTGACTGCTCGTCAACCGCTGTACGTATTCTTATTTCGAGGCTGTTCGCATTTACGCACTTCACCGGCAATTACAGCTATAAAATTTTAATGCGTGGGCCCACAGTGCAGTATTGGGCAGAAACGGCATAAGTCCTTGTGAGAGCCCATTGTTCTTTTGTCTCTGCATGAATCACGAATGTTTGAGGACCGCTGTGTTATCTGTCTGAATCTCAGAACGCGAAGTGGTGATTCCTTTTAACTTGTTGCTGTGAATGTGAAATATAAGGCGTTCATGATTTGTTTTGTTAATTTAGCGCATGCGGTCCCAGTAAATGTCTTCGTTACTGCCTTTTCAGAACTAATGTCGACTTGAGTTACATTTTTTTTCCCCCGCTGTGAATAGAAACTAATCACATGTCATACAAGTTGCTCGGCGGGGACTGAGGCAGACATTTTGCTGATTCTCCACTACTTTTGAGAAGAATTCAGCTTCTGAAATTTCTTACACACGAGATTGCGAACAGAAAATTTATAAAGGATATTTAGTAGACCTAAAATGAAAGGGCCCCGTTTCGATAAATTCAATCTACAAGATCTATTTTCCTTGTCTGATGCTGTCACAAGCTGACAGATAAAAAGAACTTAGAATGGTGGGATAATTAACGAACAAGATTGCTAAGGTGTACTCTTTGGAGTAAACTATTCAAAAAAACCCTTCACGCCACATCACATAGGTCGTTGTCGCGCTGAAATGATCACAAGTCATTCTTGCGTTGTTAGGCGTTCTTTGTTCACGCCCTAGCGTGAGAAACGCCTAAAATAATGGGAAAGTATTTGGAAGGAAACGATCATGGCCTAATTTAAGGTACTATTTCGGTATTTGCATGTAGGAATTGAGAAAAATCTCGAAATACCTCAGTCAGGTTGGGTTAGGTTTCCTGGCCGAGATTTGAACACGAAACAGGACCGAAAGACTTGTCTTGATACTGACGTGTATTTTGGTATTGAAGTTACTGGATAAAACTTTGACAGACGGTTGTCTGTCTGTTCTGAATTTGATCTGCTGTTACCTTCTTCGTTAATTGATTGTGCTACAGGTCTGATCGCTTTTATATGCTTTGGGTTTTTTCCCCCTCTCTCTCTCGAGAGCTAAATATTGTGTCTGACGAGCACAACCGCGCTGTTAGTGAACCTGACGCTCAGAACGTTACCTTGAAGCACCTGCAAATATTCGCTCAAGTTAAACAGTTATTACTTAGTCGCTTGTTTACCGTTTCAGATTACGCAACGACGTTCGGTACCTTGCTGACACTAGGTAACGTAAAATGGCAGGCGACTATGAAATGTGTGTCTTGACCTCTTTAATGCACCCTTCCATGG